AGAGAGAGTTTTACTGATCTCTTTAGAAAAACCTTGAAATAGTACCTTGTGTTTCTAATTTAGGTTAAGAGGAAGCTTTCTATGTAGTAGACATTTACAGTCTCAGAAACTCACAGAAGTAATTCCCCTCGGTTCTATCGGTTCAGTGTGATTCAGAATCTACTTGATGGCAGTGAGTTTATTTCTTTCTTTCCTTTTTTGATAAGTGGGAAGCATGCATTTAGTTATGTTTGCTTTTTTGTATTTGTATATCCAATTGTTCTAACATACTTTGGGGAAAGGCTAAGCTTTTTCTATTATAGTTACATCTTTGTCATAAATATAGATGGAGTGTATAATTTCTTTCTGGTTTTTCTATTTATTATTGATAATTAGAAGTTCATATTAGGCTTTAAACTGGGTGATTTGTGTTCTGAAATTTATGTTTTATTTTCTGGTGGCTATTCTAGTTCCTTTGTCTTTTCATATACATCAAAGAACCATCTTCTTGATAGCTTAGTAAAAGCTTGTTGAGATCTTGATTACATTATGTTGAACATGATTAAAGTATTGAAATGGATGCTATGTAATTTTTATGTCTGTGAAATGGTTAAAAATAGATAAACTAATTTGAAAAAAGTTTTATTTATAAATATCTTCTCAGTATAACACCATATTAATGGGAATAGCCCAAAAGTCATTTAATTCAATTCCTCTTGCTACACCACGTTAATGCCTCCTCCAATCAAAGGTTTCATACTCACTTTCACATAGATTAGTATTTCAGTAACGTTCTTCTAATTTATTAATTTCATTTCTGTTAGTTAATCCTATCATGTTGAAATAGAAAGATAAACTTTGACATGGTTTCTAACATTTGTATTTTATAATTAGACATTATATTAAGGGATTTAACTATTATTCTTTGGGAAATTAATTACATGCTTCTTTTGAAAATTATTTTGACACCAAACTTTTCTCATGGCATTTTTCATCTCTGTATTTCGCAGGGTATAGATTAAAGGATTGAACATAGGAGCAATGATCGTGTAAAACAGAGCAAATATTTTATCCTCAGGGAAAGTGGTAGGAGGTCTAAGGTAGATAAATATTGCTGGAGCAAAAAATAGGAGCACCACCGTGACATGAGAGCCACAGGTAGACAGGGCTTTGCGCCTGCCCTCCGCTGAGTGATTTCGTAAGGTGAATAATATTATCACATAAGAACCAACCAGGACAACAAAAGTTACTAAGGCCACCATCCCTGAATTGGCAACCACAAGAACACCTATGATATAGATATCAGTACAGGCAACTTTTAATAAAGGGAAGACGTCACAAAAATAATGATCGATTTCATTGGGACCACAAAAGGGTAACGAGATGGCCATAAGTAATTGTGGAAAGGCATGGGCAGCCCCACCGGCCCAGGCAGCTAAGACAATAAGATGACACCTTGTCCTGTTCATGATGATCATGTAGTGGAGAGGTTTGCAGATGGCAACATAGCGATCAAAGGCCATGGCAGTAAGAATGAAGATCTCAATACCTCCAAAAAAGTGCATGGTAAAGACCTGTAACATGCAATTTCCATAAGAGATGGATTTTTTCTCTACTAGTAGGTCACCAATCAATTTGGGTGTGACACTTGAAGTATAGCAGATGTCCATAGAAGACAAGTGGCTAAGGAAATAGTACATTGGTTGGTGAAAAAGCGTACTGCATCGAATGGAAAGAAGTATCACAAGGTTTCCTACCAAGAGGGATATGTAACAAAATAAAAATAGCACACAAAAAGACAGCTGTATATTTGAGTCATAAGAAAATCCCAAGAGAATGAATTCTGAGATGTTTCTTAGGTTTTCCATGTTTGTTTTCATTTGGTTTAAGTTGTAAACAAGTGAGTTGAGTTCCTGAAAATAAAGAAAACATGAGCATGAATAAAGATTTAATAGTTTAGTAATAATTACATAAAATATACAAAAAAGCATGCAACAATATTAGTATACATTATTGTATGTATATATACAATTAAGCAGTTTGTTAACTTAATCTTATTTTAAAAGTAAATTATGAAAGAATATTATAATAGGAGTAACTATTTTATGCAACATAGAAAAAGTTTCAGTAATATTTTAAATGTATTTCATTATGAAAAACACCTTTTAGTTACATGATTTTTATAAGAAATAATTAATACCTTCAAAACTATATTGGATTTATTTTTAAATGCTTGTGTACTTTATCTTTAAGATCTCCTTTCCTTCTTAAAGTTTGAGCTGATCTACCTTTCCTGAATTATCTAGGAATATTTGTTCAAGAAATATCCTAAAACTCTTCAACTTAAGTATGTTTAATATGTAGTCTTTACACATTTACACATGAACTTTAAGATGTTTAATGTGTAGTCTTGCTTGTCATGTGAGAAATTTTGACGATGAATATTTGGTTACACATGAAAGTATCCATGGACAAAGAATTCCAATTCATGATTTGAATCCAGAAAGATAAATAGCAAATTAATTTATTTCTACTATTTATGGTTCACAGATTAAAAAATACTTTCAGCATACTGCCATTCAAGTCGGGAAGTCAAAGGAAAGATAAAACAGTTGAATTACTCAAGTATGCTTGAATTTTGCCAATTGTAGTGCTTCTGTTACAATCTAATGATATTGTGTACACCCTACACAAGCGATGCCAACACAAGATGATCTAAATACAACTAAGAAAAACTTGATTGTCTGTTATGCTTTTTGAAAATTTTGAAAATTCATGAAAATTTCTTGAATCTCATATAGCTTTTGATACATCTAAAGAGTTTTACACCGGGGAAAGTGGAATGCAGAATGGAAACAATGCATTTCTAATGGCTATTTTATTCAGTCATGAGACAGTATAACATACCCAATGGAAGTACAAAAATCATGACATCCCTTGTGTTTTGGGAATAGATTTAATAGTCAATTGACTCTCCAGATGTTACAATGTTGAGTTTTTGTAGGAAGGTTATTTAGAATGCAACATATCATCTGAAAAATATGCCTAGAGTTTTCAAAATTTTATGGAAAACAGCTAACAATTGGTATACTGCTAATAAAAAGAGCAATACTTTATGAAAACTAATTCTATTTTTAATTGATATTCAAAATTTCTGTTCATACAGGAGAAAGTTTGTTTTCTGCTATTCTGAATTCAGTTTAAGGCTTCTGTATCTTCATATCTATATCTATACCTATATATACTATATAGTGTATATCTATATGTGTATAGAAATACATATATATGTATATATATAGATATATATATATACATATAGATATGTAGATATACACATTTTTTGTTTTTCATTGCACTTTCTATTTTTTACTTTTTAGTGTTAAATTAGTTTGGAATTAACATTTTGGATCATAAATTTTTAAAATGATTTTATTGGCGCATAATCCACATATCATATATATGTATACATATATGCATATATTTTTTTAACAAACTAAAATTATTTCTCAGGCTCAAAATATTCATGCCTCAAAAGTAATTAAACAAATTTAATATTTTGCCAATAATTAACCTATTTTTATTCTTACAGCTAATGTTGATTTTTTTATTTATAAGATGACATATTTAATTTTCAAATGTACATATTTATTGTCAGCAATTAAATGTTATTACTATACAAGTAAACTGATTAATAATTTAAAAGTAGACATTACTGAATTAGCTCAAAGCCTGTTTTTTGTTTTCAAGAAAAGCAAGACAATCAAGAGATTCGAAGTAATTTCTTAGGATTAGAAAATAATATTCTGTGGATCGTCAGACTCCAAATCAAACTCATTTCCATTGAGTAGGATTCATAGCAACCCTATAGTACAGAGGAGAATTGGCCTGGTGGGTTTTCAAGACTGTAAATCTTTACAAGAGTATGAGCAATTGTAGATTTCAACTCCTGACTTAAGATTAGCAGCCCAGAGCATAACCCACTCCACCACTCAGGTTCCTGAACTAGAAGCCTGCTATCCCAGTTCTCACTTTGCATGGTGCTGCATCCAGGACTAAGAGCAGAGCATGAAGGAGTAGGGGGCATGATTGACATGTAATATGCATGCTAACATGCTCTATGTTCACCCAAATAGGCTTGGTCAAATTTCTGATTTTAAGTGATTTTGAAATAATTTTCTTAGTTTCACCAAAATGAAAATTCAGTAGGTCAAGATACTTTCCTGTTTTCCACATCATATTTAATGTAAAATATCTCTTAAAATACTATTCTCTATGAGGCATGTTTAATGATCACTACAGTTATCAAAGTGCATTCTAGTATTTTTTAACTATATATATACATATATACATAATAGAATGCAAGAAAATGTATAGCTTTAAGAAATAAATAGATGAAACATAGACAAATAGTAAATCCTCCATGTAAATGCAGTTGATGGGTTGTCCCCAAACCAAGGTACATTCACTGATCATTAAAGACCCATTCAGGAAGCGTTAAGGCTCAGAAGTGCCTCATCAGATACTCACTGCGCTAACTCTTCTACAGCAGCTGATTCCGAAATAAAAGGCAAAGAATTATAAACAAATAATTCAAAAATAATTAGGCTACTTTTATAATAAAAAATTGTAACATCTCAAAAACCTTAGAACATCCTACAGGTTTGTGATGGGCGTGGATGTACGTATCTGCTAAAGCATCAGGGATACAAAGACACCCATCATTCTGGCCGTTGAGTGGATTTCGCTCCTAGTCACCAGGAAGGACAGAGCAGCACTGCCCAGTGGCGTTTCCCAGGCTGCTCTCTTTTCAGAAGGAGACACACACCGTGCTTCCCCAGTCACCAGCCGGTGGGTGTGAGCTGCCAACCTTGTGATTTCCAGCTGAGTGCTTTAGCTGCTGTGACACTGGTACTCTTTATGCAATGAAAAGTGGATCTTAATTCCACAGAAATGCCAAACTGGGATTTTTTTCAATAGAGATTTAACATCTTAACAATTAAACACAAAGAGTTTGAAGCTCCCAAAAAACAACAATAAAAAACGAACGCGCAGATTTAAGTCCTAAAAGTCATCACTGCCTGTGTCAGAGGCAATCGCTTGAGAAGAGCAGAATATAAGCTGAGGAGGCGGCATGAGAATTAATAGCTCTTTGGACGCTGGAAGTAATACTATTCCCAGAAGCTGTTCTAAACACGTCCTTGCCAAATGGCACTGCCTGGCTTGTCCACCTTAATGATTCCTCTGGGCATTTTCTGGTCCTAACTTTACTGTCTATTTTTGCATTAGCCTGGCTGGGGGAGGCACTGTTTCTCTAGAGCTCTCTAAATCGTATAGTCAGACAGATAACAGTTCTGGAAAGCTTTCTGATTCTGTATTCAAGTAATGTGTTTGAGAACGGGAGGAGAGAAAAACAGGCAAGAATTTAGAGTCCAGTTCTTTTCACTCTTATTATTAACCGAGGTGGTTAGAAACAAACCATTAAAACTACTGACCCACAGATCCTGATTTGTGCCCAGGACCTAAAATTGCTGAAATAGATAGATGGGAGACCAATGACAAATGAAAACTAAAGAAAACAGAAGTAAGTCATTTGCCCCACATTTTTTATAAGAGGAAAGTATTAATTATTAAGTATAAGAAAAATTGAAGAAATGGAGAAAATCATCACCCCATATGTAGGAATTTCCAGTAATTTTCCTCTGTCATTGAATATTTATAAGAGGTATAGGCTCATTCCAATATATGCATACATCTCAACAAATTCAAGTAATAGATATTTTTTCACATATATAAAACTTCAATAATTCATTTTTAGCATTAATTATACAGTTCAGGTAAATCTAATGAGAAAAATGAAAAATAATAACCATAAGAATAGCTTAAATAAATATTTATTGCTTTAAATGTGCAACATAATTTAGTTGCATAGCATAATTTAGGATTCCTATTTTGACACGGTAATTATTAGTTCTGTTAAGCAAATAAGGGCAGTTCTGTCTCAAACAAGACTCTCTGCTTTTCTAGTTCTTTCTCCCACAGTAGTCCATTCTTTTAGTGTCTATGATTAATTGCAATAGTCACACAAAATATACACACAGTACTCATGATTAGTGGATTTATTATGACAGTTAAAAAGCTATAATCCAGAAGGAAATGCTTAAGATAGCATTGTTCAGTCAAGACATACTTACAAAGGTCTTTTGGGGCTCATAACAAGTGCTGGAAGGCATACTGTTGTGCTGCAAACCTCAACCTGAAGTCACTCGGCTCCACGGGTCAGTGACCCCAGCTCCTTGCATAAAGTGCCCAGATGCACCCTATTCCAAGTAGTCTCCATCTAAATGCATTCTGCTTAAGCGCTCTATGTCAGCAAGCCCAGCTTCCCCAGTTAATTACCCAGGCACCCTCTTCCACTAGTCAGTCTCATTCCAAAAAGCACACAGCTTTACTTCTCTGCTGGCTAGTATATCCACTCCTCTGTCTTCCTGCTCTGGTTCCCCGTTCTTCTATTGCTGCTCATTGATCACACCTTTGGTGGCAAAGCTCTCTTACATAGATCAAGGACCTTCATTGTGCAGGATCTCGGGGTTCCCAGCACAGGCTCTACTCCTGACTCTTGCTCGTAGTAAAATCTTCTCTGCTTATCTGAGGCCTCATTTTATATGTGGAAAGATAAAAATCAAGAAATCCATATTTGTGCACATTCCAAAGAAAGTTGACCCAATAGAAATCTCAAATTATAAAACAACGTAAGTGATATCACATGCATGTAAAAATTTGCGGAAGTTTATTCAACAATGGTTGCAGCAGTACGTTGACAGGAAGCTGACAGATTTTCAGGCCGGATTTGGGAGAGGATGTGGGTCAA